GGGCTACTGATTCGAGATTCATTTTTTGCTCAGTGAAACTCAAGTTAAATTTAATTTGTTTAAAGTTTTTAACAATTAAATAATGTACATTCTAATGCCACAGTGCCTGGCTTATAGTAAGTGCTCGATAAACGCTAGCTATGATTGCCATTCTTTTAACTACTAATAACAAGCAAGACTCTTAGGATGCCAAACACACACCTTTGGCCAGAGTACATTTCCTCCTGTGAGAGGTTTAAGGGCTGCCAGAGCTGATGCCTAAGGCCCAGCCAGCTAGACTTTTATGGTGGAGATGGAAATAGAGCTAAATGGAAGAGGAAGTGAAGACCTGGACTAGACTGGTTCATGTAGCTGCACGTTAGGACCACGTGGGGGCTCTTCTAAACAACCTTGTTCTGGCCCCATCCCAGATTCATTAAATCTGAATCTCTGGCAAGTAGGACCCTGCACCGGTATTTTTTTTCTTTAAGTGAGGCATAATTTACATACAATAAAATGAACAAATCTTGAGTGTCTCCTGAGGTTTGACAGTGAAGATGTTGAACACTCCTATTACCTGGTGCTCTTTCCATCAATTCCTCTTCCTCTCCCACCATCATTTTCTGAATTCTATCACCATCAACTAGTTTGGTCTGTCATAGAATTCATACAAATGGGATCATACAGTATGTATTTTCTTGTATGCGCATCTGACTTATTTTGCTTAATGTTTCTGGAATTCTTCCCTGTTCTTTTGCAAGTATCAGTTCCTTTTTATTGCTGAGTGGTTTTGATGAACCGATTCTGGTGAGGGACTGCCTGATTAGAGTATCGTTCTTTGCTCAAGTAAACTCTGTTAAATATAATTTTGTCTAACGTTCTTCTTTTAAGAATTAAATAATGTACATTCTTAACACCATAGTGCCTAGCACACAGTAAGTGCTCAATAAATGCTAGCTATGATTGCCATTCTTTTTTTTTTTTTTTTAAAAGACAGGGTCTCGCTCTGTTGCCTAGGCTGGAGTACAGTCTCTGTTGCCCAGGCTGGAGTGCAGTCGCATTATCACAACTCACTGTAGCCTCTTACACTCCCAGACTCAGGCAATTCTTCTGCCTCAGGCTTCAGAGTAGCTGGGACTACAGGTGTGTCCCACCACATCTGGTCAATTTTTGTATTTTTTTATAGTACAGGGTTTTGTCGTGTTGCCCATGCTGGTCTCAAACTCCTGAGCTCAAGTGATCTACCCACTTGACCTTCCAAAGTTGGAATTGCAGGTGTAAACCACCGTGCCCAATGATTGCCAGTCTTTTAATTCGCTGTAATGAGCGAGATTCCTAGAATGCCAAACACATGCCTTCAACACACCTTTGAGTTGCTTTAGGCTTTCTGGCTATTATAAATAACATAGCTATGAACCTGCATGTACAAATCTTTCTGTTTTTCTTGCTCTTGTGTAGTAGCTAGGAGTGGACCTGGTAAAATATTTAGAAATGAAATTACTGGGTCATAAGGTAGATATGTAGGTTTAAATTTATAAGCAACTACTGTCTGGTCCTCTGAAGCAGTGGTACCATTTTATACTCCCATCAGCAGCTTAGAAGAATTCCAGTTGCTGTCTACACCCTCACTAACACTTGGTATTGTCAGTCTTTCTAATTTTTGCCTTTCTAATGGTACTTTATTATGGACTTGATTAGCATTTCTCTGAGGACTAATTATGTTGAGTAGCTTTTCAGGTGTTTGGTGACCATTTGTATACATTTTTTGGTCATTTAAAAACATTTAAAATTGTTAATTTATAAGAATTCTTTTTATATCAAGATGATTTCATTAGGTGTTTTTCCTTTAAAACAACAGCTTTATTGAGACATATTTCACATATCATACAATTTGCCCACTTAAAAGTCAGTTGTTTTTAATATATTTTACAGATTTGTGCAATTACTACTACAATCAATTTTAGAACGTTTTCGTCACCCCAAAAGAAACCACATACCCATTAGCAGGCACTCATCTTTCCCTATCTACTTAACCTCTAACCCCGCACAACCACTAATCTTCTTTCTATCTCTCTAGTTTTGTGTATTCCGGAAGTGTCCTGTAAACAGAATCGTGCTATACGTCGTCTTCTGTGAGTGTCTTCTTTCGTTTAGTACCATGTTTTCAAGCGTCATTCGTGTTGTAGCATACATAGTTCAGTACTTAATCCCTTTTTATTTGCCAAATAAGCTTCCAGTGTATGGATACACCACATTTTATTTATACTTTTATCAATTGATGGACATTGGGTTATTTTTACTTTTTGGCTATTAGGAATAATACTGGCATGAACATTCATGCGCATTTGTATGTGTGTGTCTGTATGTGGACATATGTTTTCATTTCTCTTAGGAGCGGAATGGATGGGTTATATGGTAACTCTGTATCTAACGTTTTGAGGAACTTCCAGATTGTTTTCTGAAGTGATTGTATCATTTTTATATTATCACTAGCTATGTACAGGGTCAGAATCTTTTAAAAATGTAGGTCTGGGCCGGGCGCTGTGGCTCAAGCCTGTAATCCCAGCACTTTGGGAGGCCGAGGCAGGTGGATCACGAGGTCAACAGATAGAGACCATCCTGGTCAACATGGTGAAACCCCGTCTCTACTAAAAATACAAAAAATTAGCTGGGCATGGTGGTGCGTGCCTGTAATCCCAGCTACTCGGGAGGCTGAGGCAGGAGAATTGCCTGAACCCAGGAGGCGGAGGTTGCGGTGAGCCGAGATCGCGCCATTGCACTCCAGCCTGGGTAACAAGAGCGAAACTCCGTCTCAAAAAAAAAAAAAAAAAAAAAAAAAAATGTAGGTCTGTCCATAGTGTGCCTACTACATAGGGTTGTTGTAGAGATTCTTTGTTTTCTTTTCATTAATTTTTCTTACAAGAAAATTTTGCCCACCCTGAGTTCAGGAAGATATCTTCCATCTTCTAGAGTGTTTTTGGTTCTGAATTTTGTGCTTAGGTTATGATCCATCTTGAATTACCTTTTGCGTGTATAGTATAGAGGTTGAGGGTCATTTCTTCCCCAATACGGCATTCAGTTGTTCTAGCACAATCTGCCAACAAATTTTATTTTCTCCACTGAATTGGTGTTTTGGTCAAAAGGCAGTTGACCATCTACGCATGAGTTTATTTCTGGACTCTATTCTGTTCCAGAAATTGATCTATTGATCTATTGTCTCTCCTTACCAAGAACCACATTGTTTTGATTACCGTGGCTTTATAGTAAATACTAAAGCCAGGAGGAATAAATTTTCCAACTTGCCTCTTGTTTTCCAAAATTTTCTGGCTATTCTAGATTGTTTGCATTTCCAGATAAATCTTAGAACCACTCTATCAATTTCTTTTATTTATTTATTTATTTTTGAGATGGAGTCTCACTGTCACCAAGGCTGGAGTACAATGGCTCCATCTCAGCTCACTGCAACCTCCACCACCCCCCCACCCTTCCCCTTCAAGTGATTCTCCTGCCTCAGCGTCCCGAGTAGCTGCGATTACAGGCGCCTGCCACCTTGCCTCGATAATTAATTTTTGTATTTTTAGTAGAGACGGGGTTTCACCATCTTGGCCAGGCTGGTCTTGAACTTCTGACCTCGTGATCTACCTGCCTCGGCCTCTCAAAGTGCTGAGATTACAGGTGTGAGCCACTGGTGCCCAGCCAGGTGCAGTGGCTCACACCTGCAACTCTACCACGTTGGGAGGCCGAGGTGGCTGGATTACTTGGGCTTAGGAGTTGGAGATCAGCCTGGGCAACGGTGAAACCCCCTCTGTACAAAAAATACAAAAATTAGCTAGGTGCGGTGGCACGCTTGTGGTCCCAGCAACTAGGGAAGTTGAGGTGGGAGGATTGCTTGAGCCCAGGAGGAGACTGCAGTGAGTGGTGACTATGTCACTGCACTCCAGCTTGGGTGACAGAGCGAGACCCTGTCCAAAAAAAAACAAACAAAAAGCTGGAATTTTGATCGGGATTGTGTTGAATCCATGAACATATGTATCTCTCCACTTACTCTGGTCTTTATTTCAGCAGGGATTTCAATATAGTTTTCAGTGTGCACGATATAATTTTCAGTGTGCACAATATATTTTCAGTCTTGCACATCTTTTGTTACATTTATTTCCATGTATTTGATGTTGTTTATGTTATTTAATATTGCTGTTGTATTTCTGATTTTATTTTCCAATTTTTTGTTGCTAGCACGTGGAAATGCAATTGATTTTTGTGTGTGTTTTGTACTCTGCAACCTTGTTCAGTTCATTAGTTCTATATTTGTTTTGTTTTGGTAGATTGCATCCTTAAGGCCCTGCTACTCTGGACTTTCCTGATGGAGATGGTAATAGGACCTGTACTGAGAAGAAGGAATGTGGGGATTTATAGTGACTGTTTAATTTACGGTGTTTGGGCCGCACCCGAAACATATGAAAACAGTCTTCGGAGGAGGGAGGCGGGGTGGGTGAGGCATCCTGTATTTTCAGTTTCTGGGGAGATTCTAAAAGTGCCCTTGTGAACTCTTGATTTAGGTGCCATGTGGCACTCAAGCCCAACGGCCACTGACCCTCGCCTGAGGGGATCAGGGCGGGATGACCTGGGCACCACGGTCACGCCCAGGCCGAGGCCCCCACCCTTCCCCTTCTCGGTAAAGGGCAGGCAAGTTCCGGGTTCCCTTCTAGGTCCAGGCGAAGGGGAGGAGAGCGCCCCACAGACGACAGGCGCCTCCCGCCTCTCTCCTTCAATAAACACGCGGCAGTAACTGCAGTCCCAGCCCGGCCCCGCTGCCTCCGCCTCCGCCTCCCCCTCCCCCGTGGACACACCTGTTTACCCTTCCCCGCCCGACCGGCGGGAGGCGCCACGGCGACCCCAGCCCCGCCCGGGTTTCTCCGGGGTGGACCAGCCTCCCGGGGCACAGATGAGGACCCCGACCTCCGGAGGGGCGGACACTGGCGCGAGGCCCCCTGGCCCGACGCTGTTCCCCTCCCCGCTTCCAGGTACGCGGAGATTAAAGAGGAGCTGGAGGAGCTGGACCGCATCACCGAGCAGACGCTCTACGACCTGTACAAGTACAACTCCACCACCCTCGTGGCCCATTCCCGCGGCCGTCGCGAACTTCGGGGTACTCTGCCGCACCCCCTGCAGCGCCTGAGGGTCCCGCCCCCGCCTCACGGGGCCCGTCGTGCACGTAGTGCGGCCTCCAGCGTTCGGGACAACAACCCCCAAGTGGACAGGAAGGACTGGAAGATCGGCTTCCAGCTGGTGAGGCCCGCAGCGCCGAGTGGCCGGCCGCGCCCTGGCCCCGCCCACCCAATGGGCTCCGCCCCTTTCCGGACCCGCCGGCGCAGCCCAGTGTCACCATGCGGGGCCTAGTGGGCTCGCGAGCAAAAAAATAAGTAAATAGATACAAATAATAACCAGATAATTAAAACACCTCTCGGTGCCCCAGCTTATGGGGCTTCCTTCCCGGGGGCCTATGTAGAAGGGTTTCAGTGATGGGAAGTCAAATCTATTACGGAAAATGTACTTTTATTATTATTATTATTATTATTATTATTGTTGTTGTTTTACTGTTTGTGTTCCTTGATTCAGGAAGGAAGATGCAACTTTCTGAATTCCAGTCCCCACTGGTGGGACTCAGTTGGGACCCTCCAGCATGATGGAGAACTGGACTAACAACTCGAGATAGAGAATAAGGAGACAGTTTTTTTTTTTTTAAAAAAAAGGAAACTTAATTATTTTATTTTTTTAATTTTTATTTTTTTGAGACCGAGTTTCGCTCTTGTTGCCCAAGCTGGAGTGCAACGGCGCGATCTTGGCTTACTACACCCTCTGCCTCCCGGGTTCAAGCGATTCTCCTGCTTCGGCCTCCTGAGTAGCTGGGATTACAGGCATGTGCCACCACGCCAGGATAATTTTGTATCTTTAGTAGAGACGGGGTTTCTCCATGTTGGTCAGGCTGGTCTCGAGCTCCTGACCTCAGGTGATCCGCCTGCCTTGGCCTCCCAAAGTGCCGGGATTATAGGCGTGAGCTGCTGCGCCCACACCTGTAATTCTGGTGCTTGGGAGGCCAAGGAGTGCAGATCGCCTGCGCCCAGGAGTTTTAGATCAGCTTGGGCAACATGGTGAAACCCTGTCTCTACAAAAAAATATACAAATTAGCCGGCGTTGTGGTGGCACAAGCCTCTAGTTCCAGCTACTCAGGAGGCTGAGATGGGAGGATCCCTTGAACTCGGGAAGTGGAGGCTGCAGTGAGCCTTGAACACACCACTGCACTCCAGCCTGACAGAGTGAGCTACTGTCTGAAAAAAGAAAGAAAGAAAAGAGCAAGGGAGAATGAGGGAGGAGCCAAGGGAAGGAGACAGGGAAGTTCCCACTAGTAAGAGTGGGCTGGGGACTGGAATTCTAGTCTCAGCTCTTGCGGGGATGAATGTCTTGATCCCTCAGTCTTCCCATCAGTGAAATGGGAGGGAAAGTCTTGCTCCTCTCTGGCACAGGGGACATATAAATGAACCCAAACCGTGTGTGCAGCTACTGGTCTCCTTCCTGGCCCACAGCTCCCTTAACCCCATGCTGTCCTGCTCCACGATCCTGGGGACTTCTGCTTCTCTTCCGCTTGTGTCTTTCCCCACTCCTGGCTTCCAACCCCTGTCCATCAGTCCTCAGAACCCTGACCACTCATTCTTTGCCCTCGGCCCTGCCAGGGGGCCTGTCCCTGGCTGTGTTTCCCCTCTGACTCTGGTCTCTGTGTCCAGTGCAACCAGAACAAATCAGACTGCTTCTACCAGACGTACTCATCAGGGGTGGATGCAGTGAGGGAGTGGTACCGCTTCCACTACATCAACATCCTGTCGAGGCTGCCAGAGACTCTGCCATCCCTGGAGGAGGACACGCTAGGCAACTTCATCTTCGCCTGCCGCTTCAATCAGGTCTCCTGCAACCAGGCGTGAGTCAGTCCTGCCTGGCTCCTTGCTTTCCATGGGGTCCCCTGCCCTGGGTCAGCCTCACGCCCTGCATGGGCAGGGCCGGGGAAATGCTTGTTGACTAAAAAAACGCCGGTACCAGCAGGCCAGGGGGAAGTACTGGCTTCGGGTCCACACCCTGCCCCAGAGAGCGCCCTACGCCCTCCTGCTGCTCCCTGCACTGCTGGATCTGAGGGAAGCGGCTTCACATGGATGCCTTGGGGGCTTGAAGTTGGGCTTTGAGAAACCAAAGCTTGGAAGCCTGGGTCTTGGTCTTTCTAAGGCCCCTTTCTCCCTAGCATCAAAGCTCAAAAGGGCCTGGAAAGTCATCTGTCCCATATACTCTGCTCCCTGAGCTGAGGCTGGCAGTAGCAGCGAGATGGAGTGGCATGGGTTGAGGGAATAAACCTGAGCTCCCACTCTAGCTCCGTCCCTCCTGGCCAGGTGACTCTGGGTGTATCACATCATTCTTCAGAGACTATTTCTTTGATTGTAAAATGGAAGTAAAACAAAAATGAGATTCATTCAATGTTCGTTCTGACAAATAGTTCTGACTGTCTGGGCTATGTACCAGTCACTGTTCTAGGCGTTTGGGCTACATCAAAGGAAAAACTATGTAATCCGCGCCCCTTTGGCACTTTTACTCAAGTGATGAAGATGATGATCATAACACTTATCTCAAGAACTGTAGCAAGTGCGTGAGATACAAAGGTGAGGGCACTTTCCAGACCGCAGTAAATGATGGGTTTCATTACTCTTGTACTCAGATAGGTGAAGTGACTTGCCCTTGGGAATGGGCCGGCCCTGGTTAAGGATTTTTCCCACCCCACTGCCCCTCAGGCATTCATTCTGTGAGGACCCCTGTTATAATGTCCTTGCAAAGAGCTCATGGCAGCTGTAGGCTCTCTGAGGGCTGGGAGAGGCTGAGGCCACGGGGTCCCCTTCTGTAGCCTCTGGCCCCCTCCTCCCTGCCTCCTCCTCCTCCTGCTCATTGATTTTTCAGGAGCCATCTCCCTGCCTCTGCTCTGGCTCTGCTCTACAGGGGGTCTTCCCTCCCCTGTCCCTGAAGAACAGCCACAGGGCGAGGTGTCACTTCTCACCCCTCACGCACTCTGCTCAGTACATGATTTTGTTCCATCTTTAGTCTTTGTGTTTGTTTGAAGACAGAATCTACCAGCTGGGAAGTAAGAGGGTAGCAACACCTAAGCCTGCGTCAGCCCACACCTGCCACCAGGTCCCTCTAACCGTCACCTTGGCACCTGTGCTTTCCCTATGCCCTCATCCAATGCCCTCCCTTTGTTCCGTGTACCTGCCTCCCTGTCAACAGAAAGTCCGTGGTTCATTTTGTCTTGGCACTTAGCCGCTTAGGTCAGCTCAGAGCCTCACTTTCCACCTGGGTTGTTAGAGCCCCCCCTCCACCCTACTGTGTCCTGCCTCCAAATCCCCCTTTCCTTCTGCAACCACAGGAAGCTTTGTACTTCATCCTTACTTCACTTCACAAACCATTCCAGTTAGTCCTGTGTGTTAGTCCATTTTGTGCTGCTGTAAAGGAATATCTTGCCAGGCCTGGTGGCTCACGCTTATAACCCCAGCACTTTGGGAGACCGAGATGGGCGGATCACCTGAGGTCGGGAGTTGGTGACCAGCCCAGCCAACATGGCGAAAACCCGTCTCTTCTGAAAATGTAAAAATTAACCGGGTGTGGTGGCACGCACCTGTGGTCCCAGCTACTCAGGAGGCTGAGGCAGGAGAATTGCTTGAACCCAAGAGGTAGAGGTTGCAGTGAGCTGAGATCAAACCACTGCACTCCAGCCTGGGCAACAGAGTGAGACTCCCTCTCAAAAAAAAAGGAATATCTGAGGCTGGATAATTTATAAATAAAAGGTTTAACTGGCTCAGGGTTCTGCATATTGTACAAGCATGGCACCAGCATCTGCTTAGCTTCTGGGGAGGCCTCAGGAAACTTTTACTTGTGGTAGAAGGGGAAGGGGGGGGGCAAAAAAGAGACACCAGACTCTTAAACAACCAGCTTTCAGTTGAACTAATTAATAGAGTGAGAATTCACTCATTACTGTGAGGTGGGCACTAAGCCATTCAAGAGGGGCCCGCCCTGTGACCCAAACACCCCCCACTAGACTCACCTCCAACATTAGGAATTACATTTCATTGTGAGATTTGGAGAGGACAAACATCCAAACTGAATCATCCTGTTTAAATTCCTTCAGTGTGTCTCATGGCCTCCAGCAACAAGTTGGAGCTCCTTAGTGTGGCTTTCTCACCCCTCTCCTCCCCCATAACCCATGCCCTTTTCTCCACCCTATAATCTTTTTAAAATAACACTTTTATTGAGAATAATTCACATACCATAAATGCATCCTTTTATTATGTAGAATTTAGTGATTTTTAGTATATTCAGAGTTGTGTAACCATTACTGCTACCTGTTTTTAGAACATTTTCCTCACTCCAAAAAGAAACCCTGTGCCCATTGTCAGTTCTTCCCCCATTTTCTCCCCTTCTCCAAGCTCTGGGATCCACTCTTCTGCTTTCTTTTTTTGAGATGGAGTCCTGGTCTGTTGGCCAGGCTGGATGCGATCTCAGCTCACTGCAATCTCTGTCTCCCAGGTTCAAGTGATTCTCCTGCCTCAGCCTCCTGAGTAGCTGGGACTACAGGTGTGCGCCACCACGTGAGGCTAATTTTTTTGTATTTTAGTAGAGGCGGGGTTTCACCATGTTGACCAGGATGGTTTCAATCTCCTGACCTCAAGATCCATTGCCTCGGCCTCCCAAAGTGCTGGGATAACAGGCGAGAGCCACCGTGCCCGGCCTCTGCTTTCTGTCTTTGTGGATTGCCTATGGTGGACATTTCACATGAATGGAATCATACAATATGTGATATTTTGTGAGTGATCTTTTATTTAGCATAACATTTTCAAAGTTTATCCACATTGTAGCATGGATCAGAGCTTCATTTTTATGGCTGAATACTATTATATTTTGTAGATATACCACTTTTTTTGTTTGAGACAGGTTCTCACTCTGTCACCCAGGCTGGAGTACAGTGGCAGGATCAGACCTCACTGCAGCCTTGACTTTCTGGGCTGAAATGAACCTCCTGATTAAGCCTTCCAAGTAGCTGGGACTACAGGCTTATGCCACCATGCCTGGCTAATTTTTTTTTTTTTTTTTAATTTTAGAGGAGCTGAGTCTCTTACTATGTTACCCAGGCTGGTCTCTAACTCCTGAGCTCAAGCCATCCCCTTGCCTCAGCCTCCCAAAGTGCCGGGATTATAGGCGTAAGCCACCACGGCTGGCCCACAGTTTTGCTTATCCATTCTCATCTGATGGACATTTGGATTGTTTCTGCTTTTGGCTGTTTTGAATAATGCTGCTGTGAACGTTCCTGTACATGTTTTTGTATGGATCTATGTTTTATTTCTCTTGGGTGTTTACCTACGAGTGGAACTGCTGGGTCATATGGCAGCTCTGTATTTAACATTTTGAGGAACCGCCAGACTTTTCCAAATGGCTGCACCATTTAACATTCCCAACAGCAATGTATGAAGGTTCTAAATTCTCTACATCCTCCCCATGTAGTTGTCTGTCTTTCCGACTTTGGCCGTCTTTTTTTTTGAGACGGTGTCTTACTCCGTTGCCAGTCTGGAGTGCAGTGGCACAATCTTGGTTCACTGCAACCTCTGCCTGGGTTCAAGCGATTCTTCCGCCTCAGCCTCCCGAGTAGCTGGGACCACAGGCATGTGCCACCACGCCCAGCTAATTTTTGTATTTTTGTAGTAGAGACGGGGTTTCACCATGGCCAGGATGGTCTTGATCTCTTGACCTCGTGATCCACCCGCTGCGGCCCTCCAAAGTGCTGGGATTACAGGCGTGAGCCACCGCGCCTGGCCTGGCCGTCTTAATAATCCCTGTAATCGTAATAGTGCGCGAATACAGTTCTTACTAAGCCTAAACACCATTCTAAGCACAATTCAATGCTCTTCACACCCCTGTGAGGTCGATATATTTGTTATCCCCATTTTACAGCTGAGGAAACTGAAGTTCAGAGAGATGAAGTAACTCGTTTGGTCCCACATCTAACACTTGTTAGAGCCCCGGGATTCAAATACCAGGAATTTAATTCTGGAGTCTGTGCTCTTAACTATCACATTATACTGCTTCTCATAGGCCATTATATTAATGTACTTAGTGTGTATCTCTGTGAGTTTTTGCAAAATGTGTATTTAATTAACATAAATGGTATTGTGTTATAGATCTCACTTCACCTCTTACTTTTTGTTTTGAGACAGAGTCTTACTGTGGAGTGCAGTGGTGCAATCTCAGCTCACTGCAGCCTCTGAGTTCAAGCGACTCTTCTGCCTCAGCCTCCCAAGTAGCTGAGACTACAGTTGCCCGCCATCATGCCTGGCTAATTTTTGTATTTTTGGTAGAGACAGGGTTTCACCATGTTGGCCAGGCTGGTCTCGAACTTCTGACTTCAACTGATCCGCCTGCCTTGGCCTCCCAAAGTGTTGGGATTATAGACATAAGCCACCGGCCCCCCCCCCCGCCCCCGGCTTTTTTTTTTTTTTAACGAAGTTCTATGTTTGAAACCCATCTGTGTTGTTCCACCTTACCTGCTCATCCAACCTGTGCATGCTTTCTGTAGGGGCGACACCCACCACACTGTGCTTGTCCCCTCTGTGTGTGCAGGGCTCACCAGCCTTCAGGACTGGCCACTTCTGTAGCCTCTCCTTCATTCCTTCCCTGCATCCAGCCCGAGCTCTAGAAGTGCTAACTTCCCAGCACATCCTAGAATGTGCACTGGTATATCACGCCTCCGTGCCTTTATTTTTAAGGCCCATGGAATATCCTAGGTCATCTAGTTCCAATCTCCTCATTTTACAGAAGAGGAGAATAAGCTTAGAAACAATGACTCGCTCAAGGCTTTACAACCAGAGCCCCGCTCCTTATCTCCGGCCAGCCTCTTCTCCCTCTTCTCTTCATTCCTTCTCTGCCTCTCACCAGCCAAAGTCCCCACTCCCTCTTTGCCCTGCTCCCATCGCTAGCTCCAAGATGGCAGAGTAGCAGAACACAGATTCTATCTGTACCGTGTGGCACATGTGCTGTGCTACAACCCACACAGCCTTCCTGTTCTGGAACCTGTGATTTGCTGTGAAATTGCATTCCTAATGCAGCAGTGTTGCCTCTGTGATTGCTTTCTCTCTGTCCCCACACCTGTCACAGATGACTTTTAGACCCCCCATTCTAAGACATGCTGATGCAAAAGCCTCTGGGAAACACTTGGTCTCATTCTTGCCCTGGGAACTTATCTTCCTCCCCTAGCTCCGTGCTCATCACTGGTCATACTCTCTCCTTTAACCCTGCTTCCCTCCACCTCTCCATTTCATTCATTCATTCATTCATTCCTCACTCAACAGCTGTCTAGCTCCCCTCCACCTCTCCATTTCATTCATTCATTCATTCATTCCTCACTCAACAGCTGTCTAGCTCCCCTCCACCTCTCCATTTCATTCATTCATTCATTTCTCACTCAACAACTATCTAGCTCCCCTCCACTTCTCCATTTCAGTCATTCATTCATTCCTCACTCAACAGCTGTTAATTATCTCCTCTATCTCCTAGATGACAGGAACTATGCAACTAACGCAGAGATGACACAGAGCTGAATGAGACGTGGCTCCTGTCCTCAAGGAGCTCATGATTCATGGGAAACTAACATTTAGACACATGAACAGTTAGGGACACTGCAAGAATCTTTATAGTGCAACAAGAGAGAAGTCACAAGGCAGCAGGGAAGTCAAGGCCAGTGAGCTCAGATGGCCTGGTGAGAGGAGCCTGGGCTAGAAGGTAGATGACCTGAGTGTGAACCCCAGGCTCGTCAACACTGTGTGACCTTGGGCCAGCTGTTTGAGCTCTCTGAGCCTTAGCTTCCTCCTGTGTGAGGTGAGGATGAGGCTCTCACAGGCTGTTGGTTGGAGTGACCGAGGGAGTGTGAGTAAATCTCTTGGCATTGTGCCAGCATGTAGTAGGTGATCAGGAACAAATGGCTCTGAAAGGCACAAGTCCGGCAGGAGTTTAAGGAAGTGGCGATTTCTCTCTCCCTCATCTTCCTGCTCCACGGACCATGTACACTTTCCTCTCTGACCCTACTCTCTCTTTCCTGATAAGGAATTACTCTCACTTCCACCACCCAATGTATGGAAACTGCTATACTTTCAATGACAAGAACAACTCCAACCTCTGGATGTCTTCCATGCCTGGAATCAACAATGGTGAGTGACTCCCGGCTTGTTCCGTGGCCGCCCTCTGCCTCAGCCACTCATGTGTACTCACCTTGAGCTCACCTCCTAGAGCTGCGGGGAGGGGTCCTCTCTGCTCTCTCTGCCCAATAAGCGCCACATAGTCCATTCCAGGCATGAGAGGAATCCTGTCCCAGGCCTTCCTCCTGCCTCCAGAATCCAGCTCAGGGCTTGCCAGGTCCCATTGCGGTCTTCCTGAGCTTGCTCTTCTTGCAGCGTTAGAGATTGGGCCAGGGCGGATTTCCACCTTCTATCTCTTCTCCAGGATTCCCTCCCCTGCCAACTCTGCTCTCTCTGCACCCCTAGGTCTGTCCCTGATGCTGCGCACGGAGCAGAATGACTTCATTCCCCTGCTGTCCACAGTGACTGGGGCCCGGGTAATGGTGCATGGGCAGGATGAACCTGCCTTTATGGATGATGGTGGCTTTAACTTGCGGCCTGGCGTGGAGACCTCCATCAGCATGAGGAAGGCAAGGATGCTGACGGGGAGGCCTAGGAAGAAAGCCCAGATTGCAGAGGGGCAGGGGGAAGGCTTGGCGGGTAGGCCTAGCAGCTAGAAGGCTGGGGAGGGAGAGCGTGTGGGGTGGACCTTGAGCATGTGGAGGTCTTCAGGAGCAGGAATGAGGGGCAGAGGGGCTGGCACTGGGAAGTAGGCCCTGCAGGGTGGACCCTGGGGGACAAGGACTGAGAAGGTGTTCAGGGCATGCTTAGGATTTCTGGGAATGCTCTGGGCCTAGTGGCCTTGAAATGGGCACTGGGTGGGCATGAGGGTGGCTAGAGGCATGTATTGAGAGGGCAAGGCAGGTAGGAGGGGCTGGCAGGTGTGAGGTACAACCTGGGACTGAGGGAAGGCAGAGAACCGAGAGGCACTTGCTCTATCCTCTGATCTCTTGGTGTATGTGGGTTCATAGGAAGCCCTGGACAGACTTGGGGGGGATTATGGCGACTGCACCAAGAATGGCAGTGATGTCCCTGTCAAGAACCTTTACCCTTCGAAGTACACGCAGCAGGTGAGGCCCAACCTCTGTGGCAGCCACCCCAGGCCTGCCCTGGTCCATCATCGGGCAAAGCTGGAGGGGAGAGTGTGTGTGAGAGAGAGGGAAACTGGGGGGTGGGGAGTGGAAAGAAGATGAAGGCTCTGTGCAGAGAAGGGCTGAGATCAGGTCTGAACCCCTCTCCTCTCCCCCTCCTCCCTTCCAGGTGTGTATTCACTCCTGCTTCCAGGAGAGCATGATCAAAGCGTGTGGCTGTGCCTACATCTTCTATCCACGGCCCCAGAACGTGGAGTACTGTGACTACAAGAAGCACAGTTCCTGGGGTGAGAGAGGGAGCCCCTGCCCTGCCCCACTGAGCGCAGCACTCACAGAGCCGGAGCCCAGGCGCTCCTTCCTCTCAGCAGTGCAGTTTGTGGAATGACTCCCACCGGCCTGGAGGAATCCTCCCTCGCTCTTGTTTTTCAACCTTTAGTCTCCGCCTCTGTCAGTTTCCCTCTCCCTCTGTCTCCCTCTTCTATCTCTGTTCCTCCCTCTCAGTGTTGCAGCCTCTCTGTTTTGGCCTTTGTCAAGGAATTGCCCCATTTAAAAATAACCTACAGCAGAAGGAAGGAAGAGCAGGTGAGAAAATCTCCAGCGCTTCCTCACTGACTGCTAAGGTTTCAGTGCACACTCTGCCAACAGGGAAGCTTCCCTGCTCAGTGCCCAGGGCGCTTAGCTGGGCAGGCTCTGGAGGCGCTGGTGGGGTACACAACACTTCCTTGGGGCAGAGGCAGAAAATATTAGAAGTTACATGGATCTGTCTCATTCCTTCACATTTTCCATCTTACGTGCTTTAGAATGGACATACTGTATCCATTCAATAGTAGAGGTAGGTAATTTATAAATCAAATACACGAGGGCCTGGCGTGGTGACCCACGCCTGTAATCCCAGCACTTTGGGAGGCCGAGGCGGTGGATCACAAGGCAGGAGTTCAAGATCAGCCTTGCCAAGATGGTGAAACCCCATCTCTACTAAAAATACAAAAAATTCGCCAGGCGAGGTGGTGTGTGCCTGTAATCCCAGCTACTCGGGAGGCTGAGGCAGGAGAATTACCTGAACCCGTGAGGCGGAGGTTACGATGAGCCGAGATCGCGCCATTGCACTCTAGCCTGGGTAACAAGAGCGAAACTCCGTCTCAAAAAAAAGAAAAAAGAAAATTACTTAAACTTGGGAGGCAGAGGTTGCCGTGATCCTCTGTAGTGACTGAGATTGAGCCACTGCACGCCAGCCTGGGCGACAGCGTGAGACTCCATCTCGAAAACAAAAACAGAAATCAAATACATGTATTGGATCTGCTTATTTAAGATATATATTTTTTTAATCTGAACAAGGTCACAATCAAAGTTTGGAGCACCTTGGAATCTCCTCCTTATCCTGGTATAGGAGTAGCAAATCTCTTTCCCTTCGACTGCAGCTGAGTTGTTTGGCAGGAAAGCTGTGTGCCAGGAAGCTGAGAAAAAGAACATCACAAAAAGAAAATACGGAAGCTCCAAGGGTTTTTATTCCTGAAGTGCGTGCTCTTCCCTGGCACAGCTGGCCGGTTCCCCCTGCAGTTCCTCCTCCCAGGGCTCTGCTGGGCCCAGCTGTCCCACAGGGTGGGCTGAGGGCCATCGAGGGAGGTGACATGGTAGCGGGCACTGAAGATGCAGAGGCCCTCAAAGGCAGTGGATTGTCTCATCCCAGTGTTCAGCGTCCACTTCCATCCCTGCCTGGCTCCTGTGGTGACTGTCCCGCTTCTTTCCTGGGCTGGCTCCGCAGTTTTCTTCTGCCTGGACTTTCCAGTCGTGGCCTCCTGGTTCCTGTCTCTCTGACCTTAGAGGATTGTAGCACATCATAACTGGGGGAAACCCAAAGGCCATCTGGCCTCACCTCCTTTCTCACATGAGCAAATTGAGGTCCAGGGGGAGGATGTGACACATCCCAGGGTATGCAGGACCAGGACAGAGGGGACGTCACCCATCATTCCTCCCTGCCCTCAAATAATTATTTCCATGCTGTGGGTTTGCACATCTGTGAATGAAAAATAAGAATATCGATTGCCGAGGAATCGTGAGGATGAGAGAGGAAGTAAGGCTGAAAGCACAGTCTGTTTATTTCCTAGGGCTCACTTCCCTGGAGAGGAGGGCCAGCTGCCTCCCCTTCTTCCTAAAGATCTCCAGCCCTGGTAGGGATTTGGGTCAGAAATGAAGAAGGACTTCGGACTGAGGAACTAAAAGTAGCAATAGTGACAAAATAACATTACTTAGAATTTGAGAAATGGGGAGGAGGAGAATCTACAGTTCCATTATTTTATTTTATTTTTTGGTAACAGCTTTTTTTTTTTTTTTGAGACGGAGTTTCGCTCTTGTTACCCAGGCTGGAGTGCAATGGCGCGATCTCGGCTCTTGCAACCTCCGCCTCCTGGGTGCAGGCAATTCCCCTGCTTCAGCCTCCTGAGCAGCTGGGATTACAGGCACGTGCCACCATGCCCAGCTAATTTTTTGTATTTTTAGTAGAGACAGGGTTTCACCATGTTGACCAGGATGGTCTCGATCTCTTGATCTCGTGATCCACCCGCCTCGGCCTCCCAAAGTGCTGGGATTACAGGCTTGAGCCACCATGCCTGGCCGGGTAACAGCTTTATTGAGATAATTTTTATCCCATACAATTCACTCATTTAACGTGTACAATTTTATTTTAGTAAAATTTTAGTTTTTAGTTTTAGGTTTTAAGTACAGTCCCATAGTTGCTCAATCATCACCACAATCCATTTTGGAATATTTTTAGTGTGCCCAAAAGAGTCCTTGTACTTGCTCAGGCCGGGCACGGTGGCTCGCACCTGTAATCCCCGCACTTTGAGAGGCCAAGGTGGGCAGATCACTCGAGCCCGGGAGTTTGACACCAGCCTGGGCAGCATGGCGAAACCCTGTCTTTAACTAAAAATACAAAAATTAGCTGGGCATGGTGGTACGTACCTGTAGTCTCAGCAACTTCGGAGGCTGAGAGAATCATCTGAGCCCAGGAGGTCAAGGCTGCAGTGAGCCATGATCAGGCCACTGCATTCCAGCCTGGGTGATGGAGTGAGACCCTGTCTTAAAAAAAAAAATAAATAATCTTTTTACTCATTAGCAGTTCCCAAGATTCCCTCCCCTCCGTCACCACTGTCAGCCCAAGGGCAATCACAATTCTTTCTTTCTCTATGGATTTGCCTATTCTGTTCTGAATCTTTCTTTCTTTCTTTCTTTCTTTTTTTTTTTTTTTGAGATGAAGTCTCATTCTGTTGCCTAGGCTGGAGTGCAATGGCATGATCTCAGCTCATTGCAACCTCCAACAACCGGGTTCCAGCAATTCTCCTGCCTCAGTCTCCCGAGTAGCTGGGACTACAGGTGCCTGCCATCACGCCCAGATAATTTTTCTATTTTTTAGTAGAGAGGGGTTTCATCATATTGACCAGGCTTGTCTTGAACTCCTGACCTCATGATCCACCCACCTCAGCCTCCCAAAGTGCTGGGATTACAGGCATGAGCCACCATACTCAGCCTTTTTTTTTTTTTGAGACAGAGTCTTACTCTGTCAACCAGAAGTACAATAGCATGGTCTCAGCTCACTGCAGCCTCCACCTCCCAGGTTCAAGTGATTCTCCTGCCTCAACCTCCCAAGTAGCCAGGATTACAGGTGCCTACTACCACACTTAGTTAATTTTTCTATTTTTAGTAGAGACTGGGTTTCAGTGTGTTGACCAGGCTGGTCTCGACCTCATGATCCGCCCACCTCGGCCTCCCAAAGTGCTGAGATTACAGGAGTGAGCCACTGCAACTGGCCTTATTCTGAATCTTTCATATAGATAGAATCTTAGAACATGTGATCTTGGTGTCCACCTTATTTCACTTAGCGTAATATTTTCAATGTTCACCTGTGTTGTAGCAACGGCAGTGCTTCATTCCTTTGTATAGCTGAATAACAAAAGACCACACTTTACCCATTTATCAGTTAGTGGACATTTGTGTTGCTTCCACTTTTTGGTTATTGTAAATAATGCTGCTGTGAGCATTTGTGTACATGTTTTTGTGTGGACACATGTTCTCCATGTTCTTGGCTATACACCTAGGAGTGTAATTACTGGGTCGTATGGTAATCTATATTTAACCTTTTTGAGGAGCTGCCAGGTTATTTCCAAAGCGACCTCACCATTGTACATTCCTAACAGCACTGTAAAAGGGTTCCAGTTTCTCCACATCCTGCCAATTCTTGTTATTTGTCTTTCTTAATTTTAATTTTATTTTTTTTGAGACAGTCTTACTCTGTTGCCCAGGCTGGAGTGCAGTAGTGTAATCTTGGCTTACTGCAACCTCTGCCTCCTGTGTTCACGTAATTCTCCTGCCTCAGCCTTCCCAGGAGCTGGGACTACAGGTGTGCGCCACCACGCCCAACTAATTTTTGTATTTTTAGTAGAGACGGGGTTTTACCCTGCTGGCCAGGCTGGTCTCGAACTCCTGACCTCAGGTGATCCACCCGCCTTGGCCTGCCAAAGTACTGGGATTACAGGTGTGAGCCACCATGCCTGGCTTATTGTCTTTTTTAAATAATAGACATCTTAGTGGGCGTGAAGTGGTATCTCATTGTGGTTTAATTCCCTTATTCTCATACAATGATTGTTCCCATTTTTCTTTGTGTCTTTTAAGTTTTTGTCCATAGCCTATATTTCCTTACACTGGCGTATCCTGTTTTGTTCTTCCCCAGACTTAGCTTATTTTCTTTCTTCATTAATTTTTATTTTATTTTTTAGAGAAAAGGTCTCACTCTGTTGCCAGGGTTGGAATGCAAAAGCAAAATCATAGCTCACTTGCAACTCCTGGGCTCAAAGGACCCTCCCACCTCAGCCTCCCAAAGTGCTGAACCACTGTCCCTGGCCTAGCTTAATTACTTCTTCTTTTTCTTCTTCTTCTTCTTTTTTTGAGACAGAGTTTCGCTCTTGTTGCCCAGGATGGAGTGCAATGGTGCAATCTCGGCTCACTGCAACCTTCGCCTCCTAGGTTCAAGCGATTGTCTCAGCCTCCTGAGTAGCTGGGATTACAGGCGCGCACCAGTACAGACACCTAACTAATTTTTGTATTTGTAGTAGAGACAGGGTTTCACCCTGTTGGCCAAGTTGGTCTCGAACTCCTGACCTCAGGTGATCCACCCACCTTGGCCTCCCACAGTGCTGGGATTACAGGCATGAACCACCGTGCCTGGCTAGCTTAATTTCTTAAACACTTCCTGGTACTGCATCATTGTAATGCTAACTAATGCTTTTGTAAAGTGCGTACTCAGAGATCTGGGGAGACCCCTTGGGTGTGGGGCGGAGGAAGTTGAGGTGCCCTAGGAAAACAGGCATTTCTCTGTACCCACAGGCTACTGCTACTATAAGCTCCAGGCTGACTTTTCCTCGGACCACCTGGGCTGTTTCACCAAGTGCCGGAAGCCATGCAGGTGAGTGTCCCTTGCTGAGGGTACAGGTTGGGTACAATACGGGTTACCCAGCCAAACCTTTGAGTGGGAGAGCTCTGCCCCCAACACTGAGCACCTTTTTCCATCCCCAGTGTGACCAGCTACCAGCTCTCTGCTGGTTACTCACGATGGCCCTCTGTGACATCCCAGGTAGAGTGTGAGGAAGGGACAGGTGGGGGATGTGTGTACCCATGTAATGCTGTGGCCTTCTCTGCATATATGTATGAGTGTGTTTGACACAACCCTATCCCTGTATGCCTGAAGAGTACGGGATGACCTTGATGACACCCCATTCTTTCCTAGAAATGGGTCTTCCAGATGCTATCCCTGCAGAACAATTACACCATCAGCAACAAGAGGTCAGTCCTGCCCTGGTCCCAGCTGCAGGAAAGGGATCTTTGGGAGGGAAAATAGACCTAGGAAGAGGGGTCGATATGGCTGATTAGACGAAGGTCCACGAAGTTCATCCTCTGCCATTTCTTCCCGCCCTCTGACCCACATCTAAGGAATGGAGTGGCCAAAGTCAACATCTTCTTCAAGGAGCTGAACTACAAAAGCAATTCCGAGTCTCCCTCTGTCACGGTGGGTCCTGCCTGGATGGAACCTGTGATGCTCTGGGGGTGTGTCTTAGCAGGGCAGCTGTCAGGGAAAGCCAAAAGGTTGTCTCTGTGGGGTCAGAAGGCTCTGGGTCTCTGAGGCAGGGGACCAAATAAGAGGGTCAGCAGGGGGAGTTTGGGAGGGCTGAACGAAGGAGCTCAGCCAGGGCATAAGGTCTCTGGGGGTGGTGCGAGGGACAGGCATGCCAGATGCTGGGGAGAAGGTGCTTGAGCCATGTCCCCATTGCAGCTGCCCCTGACTGTGGGGCCAGTTCTCAGTTTTCTCTGGGTGACTCTGGCCAGGAGCAGAGACAAGGAGCCCAGGGGACCGCTGTGAGGCTGAGAGGACTCGGGCGTCCTCAGGGATGAAGGGAAACCGCTTGATGAGGAGGGATGGGGGCTCCTCTGCCAGAGCCCACCCAGAGCCCTCTGCCCCGTCATCAGTGTGCCTCTCCTCTCACAGATGGTCACCCTCCTGTCCAACCTGGGCAGCCAGTGGAGCCTGTGGTTTGGCTCCTCAGTGCTGTCTGTGGTGGAGATGGCTGAGCTCATCTTGGACCTGCTGGTCATCACGTTCCTCATGCTGCTCCGAAGGTTCCGAAGCCGATACTGGTCTCCAGGCCGAGGGGGCAGGGGTGCTCAGGAGGTGGCCTCCACCCCGGCATCCTCCCTCCCCTCCCACTTCTGCCCCCACCCCACGTCTCTGTCCTTGTCCCAGCCGGGTCTTGCTCCCTCCCCAGCCTTGACAGCCCCTCCCCCTGCCTATGCCACCCTGGGTTCCTGCCCATCTCCAGGGGGCACCACAGGGGCCAGCTCCTCTGCCTGTCCTCTGGGGGGGCCCTGAGAGAGGAGAGGTTCCTCTCACCGAGGCAGATGCTCCCCTGGTGGGAGGGGCTGGCCTTGGCTGGACTAAAGGAGGAGCAGGGCTTCCACTCGGAGCCGCCCAGACTGTCTTTGATGTGTGGAGGGGAAGGAGATGGGTAAGGGCTTCAGGAAGTTACTCCAAGAACAGTGGCCAATGAAGCTACCCAGAAATGCCTTGGCTCCAGCTCCGTGCCCCTGGGAACTGCCTCTGAGCACTCTGGTTTCCCCACTCAACTGCAGACAAGACTCCTTTTCCCTTGAATCAGCCAAGCCAAACTTGGAGCTTTGACAAGGAACTTTCCTAAGAAATGACTGACGACCAGAACAAAACACAGCCAAGGGTACACGCGGGCATGCATGGGTTTCCTGCCCAGCGATGGCTAAAGCCAGCCCCTGATTGGCCTGGCCACACTGCTCTCTAGTGACACAGATGTCTGCTCCTCCTCTTGAACTTGGGTGGAAAACCCCGCCCAAAAGCCTCCTTTGTTATTTCTTAGGCAGTTCTCCTTCCCTCACTCCCCAGGCGAGGGCTGGAGCAGACCCATGTAGTAAAGGTGGCCCCAAGGCTCCTCTAGCCTCATATGCATGCCCTCACAGAGCCATGCCCTGGTGTCTCTGCCCTGTGTCTTTCATACTCAAGTCTGCTCAGGATATTTCCTCAGCCTGAAAGCTTCCCCAACCATCTGCCAGAGAACTCCTATGCATCCCTCAGAACCCTGCTCAGACACCATTACTTTTGTGAAGGCTTCCACCCCATCTTGTCTTTCCCAGAATTGATCGCTGCCCCTTCTCCTGGGCTTCTGTAGCACGCTGTGTCATGCTGGAGTGCTGCTGTTGTGTAACACTTGTGCATTTGTGTCTGCCTCCCCAACAGACTGCCAGGGCCTTGTGGTCAGGGACTGAATCTTGCCCATTTACATATGCTCCACGTCTAGCCCATCATCCTGCTTGGAGCAAGTAGGCAGGTGCTCAATAAATGTTTGTTGCATAAAGGAATGTCTGGAGAGCTGGATGGGGCACGACGAAGGGGGCAGGGAGTGGATACAAGTCACCGCCCAGGCTTCTGGGTGGTCCCAGGGTTGGGGGAGGGTATAGACTCCCATGCTCCTTGGCTGCACCATGGAAGTGACCATTCTTCATGGGATCTTAAGAGGGACAAATGTTCTCGTGAATTCCTCCATGGGTGTTGCTGCTATGTGCCTGTGGCCATGTTAGGGTGGAAGCGGGGAGACATGGTGCCGCCCCCTCAGGAGACCTACCTGACAGTGTTTGGGGACACTTGCCCTGCCCAGTGGCTGATCCTCCTTTTCCTTCTCTGCTGTAGTCACCATCATCACTAACACTCCCCCCACCCCGCCCTGACTCCATTTGCTGAGTCTCACTCACCACCCAGCGACAATGAACCCTCATCTGTCCATCTCCCATCAGCCGCCTGGTGGTGGTGGAGGATGATGAGGCTCAGGCCAGTTTCTTCTGGAGCTGCAAAGCCTTATACGGTCTTATTCATACAAGATTGCAGAGAGGGGCACCGGGAACCTTCCCAGCTTGAGTAAAGGAGAGACTGTGGTCCTGGGAGGGGCTGAAGGATGTGTTAGTGGAACCCCAGCTCTCTGATCCTGGTTTCTCCCCAGCTCCAGCGTAAGACCTGCAATCCAGAAGCATCCCTTTCTCACCATCTTTGGGGATTCTGTCCCTGCCACCTTCGTCTTGTTTATCTTTTCTTTTTTTTGAGACAGAGTCTCACTCTGTAGCTTAGGCGGGAGTGCAGCAGCGTGATCTTGGCTCACTGCAACTTCTGCCTCCCAGGTTCAAGCGATTCTCCTGCCTCAGCCTCCTGAGAAACTGGGATTACAGGTGCACACCACCACGCCTGGCTATTTTCTTTTTTAAAAAATTTTTAGTAGAGATGGGGTTTCACCATCTCACCGTGTTGGTCAGACTGGTCTCCAACACCTGACCTCGTGATCTGCTTGCCGTAGCCTCCCAAAGTTCTGGGATTACAGACCTGAGCCACCACGCCCAGCCTAGTCTTATTCATCTTAATTACAGTCTCCCGGTTCTGAGGAGTCAAAGGAGAAAGGGACTCAGGGAAAGAGGAGAAGGAGCTGGTGATGGGTAGGAAGGTAGGCAGTGTTGTGACCTGAAACGGTGTGACGACTGCTGACTTCCCTTTCCTAGATTTGAGCTGACGAAGGGGAAACGGTGTTGCCTCACCAGTCTCTCCGTCAGAGCCCTCAGGCACAGACTGCCCTTGTCTGCCCCCTCAGCCTCAGCCTTGGCCCGCCTGGTCCCCAGCGCCCTCTCCTCTGGCTGATGCAGGAGGACCTGCCAGACATAGCCAGGTGTATCATGGATGGCTGCAGTCATCTCCCTCAGGATCCTGCTTCTCCTGCTTCCTGCTCTTTTCCCCCGGACCTGTCTCCTTATCTTCTCTTGTCTGTGGGTTTCTCCTGGACCCTGGGGTTAGGAGTTGGAATCAGGCTGTTAGCAATAAAAGGGTTTAAGTTGACTTATTTTCCTTATCAGCCTTAGTAAATGAAGTGACTTGCTAAGGTTCATAATTCTTACAGAACCAGCCATGAACCCGGTCCCTTTCTGACTCACCCTGCCACGCTATGACACATGCAGTCTAAATGGCAGGGCTGGGGCTAGAACCCATGTCACCTGCACTTGGGAGTTCAGCGACCCTTTGGGTTAAGCATGTGTCTGTGTGTGTGTGCCTGTGTGTATGCCGGTGTGTGTGTGTGCCTGTGTGTGTGCGCCTGTGTGTGTGCCAGTGTTTGTGTGTGCCTGTGTGTGCACCTGTGTGTGTGTGCCTGTGTATGTGTGTGTGCCTGTGTGTGCCTGTGTGTGTGTGCCTGTGTGTGTGCATGTGTATGTGTGTGCCGGTGTTTGGGTGTGCCTGTGTGTGTGTGCGCCTGTGTGTGTGTGCCTGTGTGTGTGTGCATGTGTATGTGTGTGCCGGTGTTTGGGTGTGCCTGTGTGTGTGCCAGTGTTTGTATGTGTGTGTGCCTGTGTGTGTGTGCGTGTGTATGTGTGTGCCTGTGTGTGTGTGTATGTGTGTGTTTCGTGATGGGGGAGGAAGGTCACTGCTATCGGTAGCTGTTTTCTTCATCCTTTGTTCTACAAACCCTAACAGCCGATTCTGTGCTTCCTCGTCTCCTGTGTCCTGTTTCTGCATCTCCTCTGATCATGATTTTTTTCTATCCCTGGAGGGATGATGGTCTCATTCTTACCTCCTTCACGAAACGTTCCAGTTTTTCATATTCCTAGATCCACCCACTTCTCACTGTCTTTTTTTTCTAAACAACATTTTATTGAACAATTTAATACTACATGTGCCAACGTTGTAAAGTTATTGAGTAAATAAGCATTTATCCTAAATATTGAGAAATATTCTGCATTTGTGCCAGGTTATGTGTTATGGCTTTGGCACTTTTAGACTATTAGAAATACCTTGTGGCATTAAAAATAGGACACTGAAGTCATTTTTTTTTTTTTTTGCAGCCCTCTCCCACACCACACTCCACTGTATCACTTATCTCCCTGAAGCTGTTATTAATCATTAACACAACTAGCTGGGCACAGTGGTGTGCGATGGTAGTCTTAGCCCCTCAGAAGGCTGAGGTGGGAGGCTAGCTTGAGGCCAGGAGTTCTAGGTTAGGTGAACTATGATTGCACTGTTGCACTTTAGCCTGGGTGACAGAGCAAGCCCCTGTTTCAAAAAAAAAAAAATTAATTGGCATCATGCCATCACTCATTGACCGTTTAATATATGGCAAACGCTTGCTAAACACTTCACATGCTTGATTTAAGCATCAAGCCAGCTCTCTGAAGGGTACCAGCGTGTTTCCCAGTTTTTAGATGAGCAGACTGAAGTTCTTGCTGCTTCATACTGGAAACTTGCACTTGATTCTAAGGTCCCTGCTTCTTCAAGAACTCTGCTTCGGGTTTGCTTCTACTGTCCCCGGGGTCTCCCTTCACGGTGGTGGTGAGCTGCTCCCTCTCTGAGTCCAGCTTCTGGATGATGGGGTGGAGTCAGCTCCCCTCGCAGTGCGGGACCCCAAAGCGCCATTCTCATCTACAGATCACAGAGGGGAGGCCAGGAAGAGCCAGGGACGGTGGTCTTGCGGCTGGGAGGTCATCTCAGAGGGAGAAGGGGTGAGGAGCTCTGATTTCAAGTTCTGAAGCTCTACGACCCCCCTCTTCTCTGACTCCCTTCATTTCTAGCAGCCTCGGCTGCTGCAGGCCCTTGGATGGGGCTGGGTGTAGGGAAGGTCATTGTACCCAGAAGATAGTTGTGTAAATGTTTTATCTTTGTTGTAGGATTCTTTGGGGAGACATCTGCATCAGGGGGGATGGCATAAAGTACCCAGAGTCAGGATGTGGGGTCTGACTCAAAGTGACAGAAGAAGTGGCAGTGTGTCTCTCATTAGCCAAAGGGGCCCTTGGACCGGGAGTCGGGAGTCTGGTGTTCTCTACTGGCTCTGCCTCCTGGCACACCGGGTCTCTGGATCTCAGTTTTCTTCTCTATAAAACCAGGAGGTTGGCCGGACACAATGGCTCACACCTGTAATCCTAGCACTTTGGGAGGCTGAAGTGGGCAGATCTCTTGGGCCCAGGAGTTCAAGACCAGCCTGTGAAACAGGGTGAAACCCCGTTTCTACAAAAAACACTAGTCCCAGCTACTTGGGAGGCTGAGGTGGGAGGATTACTTGAGCCCAGGAGGTCGAAGCTGCAGTGAGCTGTGATGGCACCATTGAACTCCAGCCTGGGAAACGGGGTGGATCCTCAAAACAAAAAAATGAAAAACAAGCAAACGAAGAAATGAAAAAAACCTATGGGGTTGGAGTAAATGATCTCTAGGGTCACTTATAATTGATGTATTAGAATATTTGGGAAAAGGGCCTTGGGAATATATGAGGAACACCTGATAGAAATACCTTTATTTCCACAGCAGCTTCGTGTGTCTCATTGATCCCCATGGCATCACTTTCCACATGTAGTGGGCAGGCATTGTTGCCTCTATTTAATAAATGAGGAACCAACAGAGGCTGAGGAGAGGAGTTGCCTGATGCCCCATGCTTGGTGGCAGAGCCAGGATCAGCAGTGGGGCAGTGGGGCAGGGAGACCTGACCAGGCAGAGAGTGGATGAGACCTGGGGTAAGTAGTGGCAGGGACCCAGTCAGGACAGAAAACGAGGGTTAAGGCTTACTTTGAGGTTTGGATTGGACAAGTAAATTCCCAAGAAAGAGGGAGGCGTGGAGGCTAGTGAAGAACTCCGGAGTAAATAAAGGCGAGTGCCAGTAAGGGACGCGGAGTACCTGCGGTGTGGCAGACACTTACCTGTATCTCTCCGGTCTGAACGAATCCTCACAGGAACCCCAGGAGACAGGTTATCTCCACTCTGCAAATTGGAAAACAGACCCAGAGAGGTTCAGTTATGTGACCAAGACCATCCAGCTAAGAAGCTAAGCATTCTGAACTGGAACCCAGTGACTCTGACTACCAAGCTCTGGGTCTCTTCACTGCTGTGTTCCATTTGGGAAAAGCTGGTGATGGGGGAAGGGGCTTATTGCACCCTGGTGTTTGGTTGGGAGTGGTCGGATTGGTGGGTTCGGATTGGTGGGTTCAGGGTGCAAGGCAGCCGGATCTGGGATTCCTGTGCTTCTGACTGGGGCTTACAAAGAGTTAACCCGCCTCCCGCCTCCTCCTCCAGCTCTTCCTGGTGTGCTGTTGCAACACTGCCTCACTCTGCCTCACTGTTCTCCTCCCACCTCCTCTCTCCTCCTCTCTAATTTCTCAGAATTCTCTGCACCCGGGCTCCAGTTCTAGCCTTTGGGGTTCAAGATCACTGGGACCGGGCCGTGGTCTCTATGCCCGAGTCTCAACCCTTAACTGTCATCCCAAGACACTTGTGACGTCCTGGACAGACCGAGACCAGACTCGGGAAGCCTCCTGCGCTGCCACTGCCACACTGCCCTGAGCC